ACTACTACTACTACTTACTATAGTACATGTCGTCGTACTCTACTCTCTCTTCTTCTTCTCTCGTCACACACACACCACCTCCTCCTCCTTCCTACCTACTACTTCTTCTCACTAACTAACTACTCTCTCTCTCTCTCTCTCTCTCTCTCTCTCTCTCTCTCTCTCAAATGCTTCACCTTCTAACGCACAATCCTCTCAAACTATAAGTCTCAGGAAAGAGATCACATACATCTCTAGAATAATCAGCAATTGTAATATATCCCCTCGAGCCAGCTTTGTATATTTACAACAAAATTGTGAATTTTAAATATCATGTAGATTTCTTAAATAAAATTATAGAGAAACACAAGATTGGTAGGCACACAGCAAGTATAATTAAATGGCGACTGGTCACTTAAACATGCAATCAAGGCAAACAAGACCCATGCAAATTGTGATTTTCTTTTGAGAAATTTCACAAAATAGGTGGATTATTCAACATTTTACGCATATGGGTGAAATTAAATTAAACAATATGGGTGAAATGTTAAATTGATGATATCTCGTAGGTATTTTAATAAATTGCCCTATTCTTTTTTTTTAAGTCATCATTCAAATGTCAATTTTCTTCATAATCTTGGCAACAAAGAGTCCACTTGTTCGAGAAGTCCGCGGATTGAACCGCAATGTCTTCATGATCCCACCGCTACTACAAGGCCAGTGCTTCGAGTCGTGTATCTCTTGCAATTCTACAAAAGTAGGATGTAGAATGAGAAAATCCCTTCAATGTCTGTGAGAGAGAGAGAGAGAGAGGAGGGAGATGGGGGTAGTTGTGGTGGTTATTTCACCAAACCAGTGTTTAAATCATCGAGCCTACTTGGGAAGGCCTGGATCAGGAGCCAGGCGATTCTGGGGGAGAAAGGGGAACATCCGACCGGAACCACCCCTGTTCTAATAAACTTTTAAAATTTTGTTTTGAGAATGTATATAACCTTTTAAAATTTGTTTTTTAAAAAGTTACCCTGCTTGGACTCGACTGGGATCGAGACCCTAGTGAGTCCCTATAAGAGTCCACCTTTCTAATCACTGCACAAATGATGGACAACTAAGAAGCCCATTATTTCTTATGAAAAGCGTACCATGTTCCTACTACCATCTGCAATTTATGTTCATGAGGATCGTCACCATCCAATCTGGGTTAGACGGTGACAGAGAGAGGGCAGGAATCACCATCAAAGTCGTGTTGCTTTTTGTCAGATCCCACTCGCTTTTCCAACACTGTCCAATGATTCATTGGACGGTGATAACACTCATGACTGTATATTTCCTAAAATCATGAAGATTATAGTGCACTTTCTGTAAATGAATAATGACTTTCATATTTTGCTATTATTTATTGCCAAACAAACATGATAAGGAAACTTGGACGGAACTTATAATGGATTTATCTTTACTGCCAAGAAGCACAAGGTAACTTTAAATATGGGTTGGAATTTATAATGCACTTCTATCTATATGGAGAACCAAATTACACAGGAGAGCCCTTGAGCTTGAAATGTGCGGTAACTGAACCAACAGAGAGGATAAATTAATAAATGGAAAACAAAAAAATTGAATTCTAGACACCATTAACTAGTAGTAGTCTCCTGCTAGAGGAAATATATAACATTCCAATGAATTTCCTCTCCAGAGTTTCAATGGAGAATAACAGGATCCAGTCATGGGAAGGGGTACATTCTAATCAATTTCCATTGTCCAACATCATTATTTAACATTTAATAAAAGTTCCATGTACATACTTCAAAATACTGTATTAAATCATCGTGGGTCGCCAGGTATAACTTGTTTTTTAATGGCGATTTTTATAACAAGGTTCGTCACAAATAACCCTAGTTGTTTTCTACAACAATGTTTCGTCACAAATTATGTTAGCCATATCATAATGGAGAGAAACAAAGTAAAAAATGAAAGCAATTAGCAACCAGACGGGGAGAGAAGGACAAAGTTATAGCATGCAAATTTCAACAATAAAAAAGGCAATCCAAAAGATCTTTGTTTCCTTATGATAACCATAAACTCACAGTCATGTGAATCATGTGCCTCTCTGGGAAAGGAAAAAGAATGTCTGGTATTTGTTGACTTTAAAGCCATCAACACTTTAACCTCATTCTTTCTTTGTGATGAAAGAGCAAACAGAAAGGAAAACAGTCCAAAAATGTTCTGCAGTTGTACTTAAAGAGTTGTTTTAAAAGGTAAAGAATAAATACCATACACCACCACTGGTATTTGGTATGTTGTACACCACAGGGGCATCCACCATTTATTCTGGATGATGGAAGGTGGACATTAACTGTACCAAGGAGGATGTCAGACATCAGGATCAATGGTTTATCTCCATCATCCATCATCAGGAACAGATGATGAATTCCTTGTGTACAATGTACCAGCCAACAGTGGTGTATGGTATATTTTATCTATTGAAATTTAAAGCCAAAGTGCCAAATTCAATTAACACAGGGTGACTTGCAAGGAGTGAAGATACTCTTACCAGCAGAAGGATTCTCAGAAAGAAATTGCTCCACTACATCCTCATTCTGTGCAATGGTTAAACTGTCCACTAACACAAAATTTTAATAAAAATCCTATCAATGAAGGCCACCTTTTCCATGAGCTCAGCAAGTATTAGGAGCACGCAGGACTAAATAGGGTTTACCTACAGGTGCTGTATACAAGAACACCTCCAACTTTAAGCAATCTATAACCATTTGTTAGAAGCTGCAACTGCAAATGGAGGATAACAAATGTTGACATAATGATCAAAGAATCAAACTAGATGATTAATTTCAATCTTCCACAGACAATAATAAAAGATGTTGAGCGATGGGTAGAAAGAACTTTGGTTAACACCAAGGATAAATATAAACCATTTTCACAAAATAAAAAGAAAAGCACACGCAAAAGAAAAACATACACACGCACACATGCAAGCACGCGTGCGCACACACAATAAACTAAAAAAGGACTGTGACACCAAATACCAAAGCATGGCCACAGATTGTTTCAAGGAAATTTGATTGTGAGACTTCTATTAGATGGGAAAGTACATCACACAACACCAATGCATGCTCAATGGTACACCATACAACACCAATCCATGCTCTATGGTACACTACAACACATGCTCTAGGGTATACTACAGGAGCCATTCGTGATTACAGATATTGGAAATTAACAATACCTATATGACCATATCATAAATTAGGAATTATCTCCACTAACCATCATCAAGAATGGATGGTAGATACCTCATGGTTTACTACGTGCCATTACCATGCTCCACCAGTGTAAGGGTGATACTAGTACAAGATGAAAAATAAAGCCGGAAAACTATAGCTGCAAGAGATACCATAAACGAATTGTTACTTGCCTGGAGGAGTGTAATAGAGCTTGTGGTCCTTTGAGCATCCAATACTCGACGTTGAAGAGTTTCCCAGCCCCATTGCTCAAATTTATGAATGTGTTTTAGAGACCCATCATGAGTACACTCAGCATCTACAAGGACCTAGTCCAAATTCAAACTTGTCAAATAACTTTTCTCCATAAGGCATTAGCAACACTGGTTCATATCAGTAAGAACTTCAGATAAATGAAAAAAATGCAGCTTATTGAACACAAACAACTAAAAAAAAACCCAAACAAAACTAACCTATTCCCTTTCATTCCTATTAAATATTTATTCGTGGTACTACCAAAAAGAAAAAAATTAGCAAGAGAAAAGAGAACTCTCAATGTAAGCTGTTCAACTTTTTATCCATTTCTTTCAGTACGATTATCCATTAGCTCATCAAGAAGATACCATCCGTCAATAGTGGCTTCCCAGTTGAGCAACAGTTGATATGTAAATTAGTCTTGTATTTTAGTTGGTAATTTGTTAATCAGTTTGAGCTGACCCCAAATAATTGGGATAACGCTTGGATGATGAATTTGTTAATTAATTGAAGGTAGGTTTGTAGTATTATTGTAGAAGGGCTTATATGTACTTTGCTCACCCCGCCATCTGTACATTTGAGATTAATCCCTGATTCAAATCAATGAGCATTTTGTTCAACTTTCAATGATTCAAACATGGTATCGAAACCATGCATGAATCAAAAACCCCAATTTGTCTAAATCAGAAGCGATAAATCAATCCAGCATATAAAAATTAATTATTACTCTGTCAGAAATCAATTTAGAATTTGGATCAGAAATCTGAATCAGTCTTCAATTTAAAGCCTTAGATATGATATCAGATATACTGTAGCCAAACTGTCCAGTAATAAAGAGATCACTATATCAGTTCATACAAGATCCCCGAACTCTAAATTACCCCAATTTTCACTTCTAGAAAAGATACTGTAGCAGAACTCCAGGGTAACGTAGTAATCACTCAAAATTCAGGGATTTTCTTCTCTAGTTCTCCCAATTCCATCAATATGCTTATTATCGGTTTTTTAAGCTGAACCAAAGAAGTTTCAAGTGTATCTAGGTTTTTAAGAGGTTGTCTGATCCTTCTCAGATCTGCAAGTATAGATCCATTCTCTAAGTGTTTTGGGGCTTCATTCAAGATTTTTACCAATGTCACGGGTTTCTCTTCGGAATTGTCATCAAAATCTATACATAACCTGGTTGGGCCTTGTCTCAGGTATCTCCAGTTCAAGTTTGACTCCAATCTGATTGTAATATTGCAGATACACTCAGCCTATTGGCTCCTGATGCAGTATAAATCCGCTTTAGTCAGAGACTGCTTTGCTTGAAAATCAGTTACTTGTTGATTAATCTTGGATATTATGAACTTGATTAAGAGTGATTGAGGCTGTCTATGCAGCATTCAGAGCAGCTAATCCTACAACCTCCTCAAGTTCCAATATCATGAGCTCTCAATATGTCTAGGTTCTTGACCTTTGTGCAACCAATCATATGATTGGGAATATAGAACTACTACGCCTTCAGTTCCTTTTTAATCCCTCTATCCTGCTAAAGGTTAAAGTCGGTATCAGTAGAATGGGCTCAGTTAACACTCATATGTTCAGGTTGCCCAATACAATGTTTGTTCATCAATTAACCATGAATTTGATATTGTTCATCAGTCAATTCATCAAAATTGCTTGATGTTTATCGATGATGTTTGCCTGATATGGGAAATCTCAACAAGGAAGCTAATTCGAAGAGGTCATAAAATAGGTCAACTCTTTTACTTAAATTACTTTTTTGAGCCTGTTAGTGGCAATACATCAGCTGCAGTAGTGTCACCTCAGTCCATCAACAGTTGGCATCTCTGGCATGGGTGTCTAAGTCATCTTAGTTCTGATAGACTCAAGGAAGTTATTTGAGTCAGGAACTAATCCTTTTCCATGCAATTTTCCTAAGAATTTCAATAATGATTTAGAATGTGATAAGTGTCAGTTAGCAACCTGTTAGCATTACCTTTTCATATATCTCAAAGCAAGTAAGAATGCATTTGATCTTAAACATTCTGATTCGTGAGATCTTCTCCTGCTTTGCTCAAAATTCGTTTCCCATACTATGCTATCTTTTTGGATGATCTCTCTCTTGGGTATACTTCCTTCTAAAACAAATATGATCATTGAGATGTGTTTGTTACCTCTTACACAATGATTCGAACCCAATTTGAAAAGAACATTGAGTGTATTAGGACCAACCGTGGTGATGACAATTATTTAAGAAGTTTCGATATTTTTTAGATCATAACCCGTTTGGTTCCCTGGAAATGGATCTCTGGGAGACTCATTTCCATGGATATTGGGCATTTCTACAGTTTGGATACGGTCTAGAGATGGGATTTCAGTCTCTGCATGGATATCTGTATCCACGTTTTGAGGTCATAACATGGAGGTCTGAATTCCAATTATAATAGTTATATTTACTTGTAATAATTATATATTATAATTATATAATTAACATATATTATAATAAATATAACATCATCATCGTCAAAACCTTTTCCTAACTAATTGGAGATTATAATAAATGCATAATATTATATTTTATATATATAATAATTAATATAGAAGAATATATAATCATCATCGAAGCCTTTTCCCAACTAATTGGGGTTGGCTACAAGAACCCTAGTCGCCCATCTATTAAGAGTCGTATCCTAAGTGAGGCCATAAGTCCCCATATCTTTTCTCACTACTTCCAACCATGTCTTTTTAAGCCTTACCCCTTGCTTAAAGGTGGCAATGGACCCCACCAGACGCAAGACCCGACAGGTATACCTGACTTCGGGTCCGGGTATGGGTCCAATTTTTGGACCCAATGGATCAGGTCCGGGTCTAAAACCTGGACCCGAACACTATTCAGGTCCAGCAATACCCGACCCGTACCCATAAACCGTTGGAGATAAAATACTTTATTTTAAGATCCATCATTTGGGTGTATAAAGGATCGTATACAATGAGAACTTGTAGTCATCTTTAGCTATTAACCGACAAATCATATGGCTTGAAATCTAATGATGGGTGATTGTGACCTTGTTGTCAATAATATGGGTATATGATGGTAAAGAAAAGGGCGACAAAAAAAAGAACCTCATAGTCAATTGGGTGGCAATGGAGGCGACCATACCCGAGACCCAACGGGTATGGGTATGGGTCCAATTTTTGGACCCGACGGGTCAGGTTTGGGTCCAAAACTTGGACTTGAATACTATTCGGGTCCAGGTCCGGGTCTAGATGGACCGGACCCGACCCGTTGCCACCCCTACTTGCCCTTTTTGAGCCTTCCAATTGAACTAACTCGCACCTCCTAACAGGTGTTGTACTGGGTCTACGCCACACATGGCCAGCCCACCTAAGTCTACTTTCTCTCATATGATAATAATATATATAATATAATAATATATAATGTAATGTTATAATATTATAATATCATATTATAATCTTAATATTTTACTATAATATTATATTAATAATTACAAAAATACAATATTAATACAATCTAAAGAGTGGACACACATTTTCCAGGCCTCATATCAGATGCTATCCAAACAACAGCCACCCCTATTCTAGGAGATGCCAATTCTACGAGATACCAATTCCAGAAGAGGCATCTCCCCTGGACAACCATTTCAAGGGAACCAAATGGGGCCTAATGGTATCACCCACCAGCGCCCATTCACATACCCAGAGCAAAATGGGCTGCAAAATGTAAGAACTAACATATTATAGTGACCATTTGGGTGTTACTTTTGCAATCTAGTGTTCCTGGTGAATGTTGTGCATCTTACCAATAAAATTCCTATGAGAGTTCCTGGTAATGTCCCTCATGTTGGTGTGGTGAAAAATCATGCCTCTCTCGTTGAGTGCTTGATTGGTGAAACCACATTATTCCATATTTTGCATTTTTTAATATACGCATGTTTTCATGCTAAGTAGGATTTAGAGGAATAAACTGAATGCTCAATTTGTACAATGTGATTCACTGGGATAGAGTGCATCAACTGCATTAGGAGATCATTGAACACTCTATAGCTGGGCACTTTGGAACCTCCTAGGTATGTGGGAAGAGTGGACCCATCATGCTCTGCAAACAACTGATACAGCTGTCGAGCACTCCCAAGAACAGCACAGGCATATTTTTGCACTCTTAGTTAGGGTGGGAGATGAACAGCACGCAGGCAAACTCTTAAGAATGAAAAGCTGCCCTCCCCATATGCCGTCTATGCCAGGTCTATGAGCTACCAATCCTAGTTTTAAATGGCAAAAATACAGCCCCCAAACTGCAAAATATAACCAGGATGGACATGGTCATGATCAAGGTCGTGCACAAAATAAGATCAAGAAGCCATGGAGTACCTATTGCAACAAGACGATAATTGTTGGTTTTTGTATGGAAGACCAGCAACTCCAGTAGTGGGGCAGCTCTCCTTGGATTGCCGCTACCCTATGATCATGTCTTAAATAAATTGAATGAGCGTACTCAACTTCTTGGAACTCAGGAAAATGGCCATCTCCCTCCATCTTAGGACGGACCACGTAATGCCTTGTCTCTCCTTTCCACCACACCAACTAGTTGGATTTAGACTCAAGGGCTTCTTCGCAAATTACAGGTAAACCACCACATCAATCTTTCTTAAAAAAGGTTTCAAATCCTAAAGATGTATCCCTTGCAAATGGATCAAACACCCAAGTCCTTGTTGTAGGCCACATAGACCTAACCTCAATCACTTCCCCACAAAAATGTTCTACATGTTCCAGATTTTTCTTCTAGTTTATTATTGGTTAGCAGCACCACCAAATCACTAAACAATTGAGTAATTCTATATCCCACATGTTGTATCTTTCAAGACCTGAAGAGTAGGAAAGTGATTGGTGAACGCGAGTTCAATTGGTCTCGATAAAGCTTCTTCAACCGTGTCTACATAATATGTTGAGTGAGAGCAGGACCTATGGCATACACAGCTTGGTCATACTTCTAGGAAGATCTTAGAGGTTTAGTTCTTCATCATCATCTTAGCGTTTAGTTCCATGGAAAAAAACATTCAGCCACGTAATTTAG